ACGTGCTTAGATGATTTTGATATAGGGCGTCTTGGACGTTATATAGGGTAAACTGTGCAAATACCGGTCAGTGGGTAATGGCGGTCATCCCGATTGTGCGAAATCTATTCAATCTGGCAACCTCCTATAACTGCCAACGTGTCGCTGCACTACTCTGTATTCAGATTGCTGACGAGCATTGAGATGGCGCAAACCATTGTCATAGAAATAATATTAACCTGTTTTCAGTGTTTTCGATCTTATTTTTATGCTGAGTAATATAAGGTCTTAATTCATTTTTATTCACTTGTAGATCTTAAAATTGGTTACAATTGATTATAATGACGTTAGCTGCCTATTCCTTTTTTAAAGATCAATATTTTAATACATGTTTACGAGTAAAAAATTCTAAGAAAAAAAAATGCCAACAGGAGGCAATGCCGGTCAGTTGACCGGTATTACCCCCATGCTATAATTTATACCCTATACTATTAATCCTTAGGGATTAATCCATCCATTTTTCGGCATTGCAAGAAAGAATAAAAAATAAAAATCTTCAAGGTGTCTCATTAGGTAGAAAATCAGTATTTTCTGCCGAACAAGAAGCTAAAATAGCCACACAAAAAAATATTTAGCTTAATTTTTTATGGCGTAACAGCAATAGAACTGAGAAAATTAGCATTTGGGTTTACAAGATAATTTTTCTTGTAATAAAACACCTTTTTCTTGTAATTGGCATTACAAGAAAAAGGTGTTTGATTCTAGTTCTTTGGAATCGGATATTGATATATCATGTGATACCAGTGACGATGCATACGAAGATAGATGCCTGGTTTACAGCGAGTTTGGCAAAAACAATGAATTGTGGTATATATTTACCGTTTGCTCACGATGGGCTTATTCAGAGTGCAGTGGATGGGATTCTGCAGAGAGTTATACCTGCGATGAATGTGAACTATTTTTACATTAAAACACATATTTTTGTTATTTTTTGTTTGTTTTTTAATAAAAAATATTTTTTCACCTTTCTTACTGATTTACTTGAATTATGACCCATTAAGCCACATTCGTTAATCGTTTTATAACAAAAAAATGTTAAATATATATTGATTTTTATTTTAATAATAACACAAACAAATTGACTGGCATTACCCACACTCATGACCGGTATTGTCCATGTATGGTGACAATACCGGTCAAAGATACTTTTTTATGTTTTGTCTCTGTCGAAGACAAAAATTTTATATTTTTGAAATTAAATGTATCTTGCAATAAGTTAAAACCCCAAATTACGGATTGACGGCTTAAATTTGATTCACAGAGTTTTACTTTTTTTATATTAAATTTTCTTCTTAGGTGACCGCGATTTGCACACTTTACCCTACCTAATGGATTTTTGTATAACACAAAAATAAGTGACAACTGTGAAACGCATACGCAGAACATTTGCAGAGGAGTACAACTACTCAGGTTCCATGGGAAGCCTACGAATAGTAATTAGAAAGATGGGATTTGGTTGGCGAAAAACCAGAACTAATAGAAAATTATTAATGGAAAAGCCCAATATTTAACATCTTAGACTGAATTTCTTACGTAGTATGAAACGTTACAGGAACGCAAATCACCCAATTATATACATGGATGGAACATACGTCCATTCATCTCATACCAACCAAAAGAGCTGGTATGATAGTTCAAACAAGGGCCTACAAAATGTATCTAAGTGACATATGCTTGTGATAGTGCATACTGGAGGTGAAAGCGGTTTTGTTAAAAACTCTTATCTGGACTACAAACTTACTATAAAAACAGGAGATTATCATGATGCAATGAACTACGACAACTACAAAAAGTGTCTTCAGGATAAGCTGATACCAAATTTGCCCAAGAACAGCGTTTTAGTGATTAATAATGCACTTTATCACAACATACAAACTGAGAAATATCCAACTATGTCTTCCAGAAAAGCAGAAATGCAGCAGTGGCTGACAACTCGAAATGTTTCGTTTACAGATGACATGCTAGCCCTTTATTACAGGCTATCTTTTTACTTCCTAGTGCGTTCTCACTTCACTGTTCGCGCAGGCAGTTAGAATTCCAGACTTTCAGCTATTTTTGGTGAACTATATTATTCTGACAATTTATTTTTCAACATTACGTAGCAGCCTGATATCAACTTAAATGTGTCTTATTTATGACATCTTTAATTCTCCTGTTTTATTAAAACGTAATTTTTATTTTTGCACAGATTTTCCTTTTATTTCTGCATACAAACAAAATATAGATAATTTCTATATCAACTTTGGAGTATATAAATATTTCTTTCAGCTAAAGTGATTCCTAACAAATTTTTAGAACTAAAAATGAAATTTTCATTCATCTTGTGCCTTAATATATATTTGCCGTCTCTTTATTTATTAATGAACCATTCCACTAAACTACTGTACGTAATTTGCTTCTGAGAATAATTTAGTTTAATAACTTAGTTTTTTTTATTGAGTATTTAAATAATTTTCGTATACTGAGGTTATTACTAGATTTACTCACAAATATAATAACAAGAAGGTGAATATAAAATAAAACAACCAAACAAATATGCTAACGAGATGTGATTTAGGTATATATTGGAAACAGATGCCGAATTCGGTTGATGGCCACTTGATACTAGAGATTCCAAATGTAGAGATTAAGCATCTGGTTAATTTTAATATTTTTTATTCGTATACCGGCGTGCGCATTTTTAAAATGTCGATCTGAGTATAAAGCATCGAGCAAAAAGACAAAAGAGGGAATCTAATCGTTATGAAAAGTAGAGCAAAATTCATAAAAGTGACCCTCTTAATATGGCGGACATATCCGGAAATGCAAAGGCGCCAAAGTTAAATTTTACGACACTTATTAATAGTAACTATAAAATATTTTTCAGAATGTGTCTTAGACGAGAAAGTTTTATTTAAATATTAACGATAATAGTCTAAAATGTGACACAATTGTTAAAAAACTTTAATATAAATAAGATTTCATGTGACAGTTGACACAAACAATAACATAACCCAACTAAATTTGATTTCCTAAACAAGGAAAGACACTCTCTTTCCCTGTATAATGTGGCCTTTCAAAATGGCACTTCCCGTCTAAGAATATTTTTGCCCCCACTCCCTTTATATTCCCTCTTCTGTTCTCACGTGCAATTTGTTGATGGTTCTTTCAACAAAAACAAACAATTAGTCAGATATATTGGGGTCTCAAGGATCTATTGGGGAGAAACCATGATATTTTGTCTTGGTTTTTTCCAAATAGCCAAATAGGATGAGATTTGCACAATTAAAAAATAAGATATTTAGCGTACTTTATACGAAGCTAAATTATCTTCACTTTTAGAGATTATTATTGCATCGTCTGCATAGCAGAATATTGTATATTGTTTTTCTCCCATTTGGTATCGTTTTTTCGTTCTTACTTATTTATTAATTTATTCATGATCAGATTAAACAATGGAGTTTTCAGAAAATCTCTGTCTTATCCCATAGCCAGCCTTAATTGGGTCGGTTAGTTTTTCTTCTATTTTTGCTTTTATTGTGTTGTTGTGTTATAAACTTTTGATCGTTTTGATTATTTCTAGAGTCATCTCTCCTGCGTACAATAACTGGATAATGTCCTTTAATTTGATCTTATCAAATGCCTTCGTCAGGTCCATGAAACATAAATATATCATAAATCCGGAAACTAATGGTCGAAACCAAATTCAGATTTCTGCTTTAATCTGTGCCTTCTAAGAATTGCAAGGCAAAACAGACGTTGCTAAAGCAAATCGTAATCGGTAAAGCGTTGATCTCCTCAACTAAGCAAAAATGCTTAGCAAATTGGTTTCTAGTACTAGAAGTATTTTTATATATATTTGGATATCATACTCACAAACTTTAACTTATTAATTCGTAATGTTTTATTATGCAATTTGCAATTTATTTAAACTGTGCAATTAAATGTTTATGTTATCAAATCATGAATGTGTTGCTTGTGTGAATACATTTCAAATAGGTAAAAGAAATACTAAATAAGACTCACTCACAATTAATTTAATTTAACTATCCAGACGACCGGTTTCGCTTTCTACAATATGAAAAGCATCTTCAGGTCTCGATACAAAGTTAATTAAATGCTGAAATAATAAAATGAAAAAATAATATTAGGGTGTTGTCTAATAAATATAAACAAAGATAGATGATATAAATTACAGTAATTATGCCAATATTACATGTCTGTGGTTTTTCAAAATGAATAAAATGTTTAAGCAGACAAGGTAAGACCCACAAATTGGTGTAGAATAGTCTGTTTAGAATATTAGCCAGATTCCGAATCGTATCACTATTTCAGCATAGGCAATTTTTAACATGCAAATTAAATGTCCAATTATTTCGTCCACGGGCCGAATTCTACATCTGTTCCCAAAATATATAAACATACATAAAAAAGTAAAAAGATGTGGCCTACAAAAAGGTTTCTTAATATTGTTCTGAAGCTATTTTTTTGTGGCATTTTAAATTAATTACTATTTAACTGGGAATAAGCCACAAATGTGTAATTAATACAAAAAGGTTGTCCTCCAAAAGAGTAGGCCCCCATTTATACTTTAAATAATAAAAGCTTTCCACCACATGATCAACATTACTTATTTGTTTAAAAATACATCAATTGGTTTAGTCAGTAGAGTTTGTCAGAAATCATAAAAAAAAATAAAATGGCCTAAATATCCAATGAAGATCGCGTTCCTATTATTTATTTTTCAATTTATTATTACAATTCGCTTTGACTTTAATTTGTCAAACAAAGCAAATTAAGTACAGTCCTATAAGAAAAACTTATATAAAAACCTTTTAGTATACAAAGCGAATCAACCTAAATAAATATAGTTAGTACTAAAGGTGTAGAATATATAAAAGTTGTCATGAAGTAGTTGTAGGTAGGTTTTTAGTGTTATTGCACAGTCAGTATCAAATGTAACAATTGGACAAATTGGCGAGTTACTCTATGACGAGGCAGCGAGGAAGATGCTCCCTAAGGTAGTCGAAGAGTTCCCGAGACGCTCCTGGACAATTTGTTAGTTCTAGTTCTCGCATGTGCCGCAGCTGTATCAAGCTGGACAGGCCACTGGAAGTCAACAACGGACACCCTGAAACACACTTTTTGTATTTGTAAAGTTTAAAGGAAATTTGGTTTTTTCCTTGAGTTTCCTTCTAATTTTTTTAAATTTTGTACTGTTTTAATATGAAGTAATTCATGGTTATGCTAAATTAGAATCACAGAAATCAGAATAAATATTAAATAAACAACAAATAAGTATCCTTAATGTGACAACTAAATATTGAGACAAAATAAAGCAGACCAGAGAAAGACGACAAAAAACCAACAATTTACATATTAGACTACACTACACAGCAATATGGGGATCGTTATATTCGACGATCGTGACGAAACTTTCATAATCCCGACGATTTATATGTCCAGTGAAAAGAATGAAAAAAGACGGGACTTTTTGTGGATATTACATGCACACATTTAGACAGGGATTATAACAAATATATGAATTTTGTTCATAAATCTGATTAACATGCCGCAAGCTAGAGAATGAACAGAAAGTCTAAAAAGTGGTGGCACAGATTATTTTGGCCTTTCTTAGATTTAGCTGTTGTCAACGCGTTTGTATTATTCAAACACCGATTCAATGACGGTAAAACTTTAAATCGATTTGATGTAGCTACTGGATGCATTGGGGCTAATCCAGATCTATCACAGAGAAGAAAAAAGAGTACTGAAGCCATTTCTAATAGATATAAACCTGTAGTTCCGTATGAAAAACGATAAAAAAAATATAGGTAAAGTACAAACTTTCATAAACAAAGGTCTAACAAGAATATTCAAAATATATTGGCCTCAGAAAACTACAAACACTGAAATAATGATGCTAATAATATAACGAAACAAGAGCTTCAGTACTAGTCAGTGGGTAAAATAAAAAAAAAGGCAGATCAGGCAATACTTTGAAGTGAAGTATAAAAAAAAGAATATAAATCAGTAGGATTAAGCTGATTAGAAGTAAAAAATAAAGCTAAAAACCAAAATGAATGAAAGGCATTAGAGAATAAAATACTTAAATAAAAAACTGGATGAAGTGCCTACACAGCAAATAGCGACTAAGGAAGTGTATTGATCTAGCCAATCAACTACTAAAAGCCGTACTTGGCTAAAAAATGCAAAACGCGTCCTTTGTTCCACTTAGGAGCTACAGGTCATTAAATAGAAAGAGATATATGATAATCGGTCAAACAGGCACGTACTACTTTACTCTAAAGTCAAATAAGTAGATATACGACTAGCTAGTAGCAAGTGGAAGCCGTTTAAAGCGACAAAATATTGCCTGAATATATCTGAAAAGATATTGCCTTGAGAAGATGAGAAGGACAAATACCGTAATTTGTTAAGAAGTTTCAAAAAACCTGCAACAAAATGAAGTATCCAAAAATGCTTTGTGACCCAGCTTAACATTAAATGCAATTTAAATTGCTTTTGGATCCACTTTATTCTACAGACCTCTCTTAGCTACTACTGGCTTTTTGCAGACCTAAAAAGAATGCTTCAAGGAACGAGATTTGTATCAAATAATGAGATTATTTAAGAAACTCATCGTAATAATAATAATATCGTATGGCATCTTTGCTGGACATCCTATCGGACAGGTTTTGGCGCCAATTGCATCCTTAACGCTGTTTACAAGTAGCTAGTCTCAATGCACACTAGCCTAGGGGGACTGAGGGCTTTATGTGCCATCCGAAGCACGCTAAATGGCTCGTATTATTTTTAGAACTGAAAATATTGTTGGTACCGAGAATTGAACTCATGCTCTATGGCTCAGAATGCCAGTACCTTGTCATTGAGCTACGATAAACCACAAATCTGAACGGTTTCAATACGAAATACAAATCGTTATACAAAATGCATCAAATTTTTAGAGAAGGTTTGGTATGAATCTATCAACCGACAAAGATGCTAGTTAACTCTGAAACTAATTGAGTAAAGTATTAAGATCCCAAATACACTTTGACACCGTTTCTTTAAGGAAATATGGTTGAAGTTAATTTAAATAGAACAAATGCAGCATTATATTATTCTAAAAAAGTTTAATCTACACTTACCTGCTAAAGACAGTATTTGTAGGTTGCGCATTCCGCACAAATGTTGCAGTCCAAAATCTCTTATTTGGGAACACCAACGCAAATATAGGGAAGATAACGACAACATTGTAGAAATATAACCAATACCTATATCTGTTATATGTACACACCTAAAAAGTGAGCCCAATTGAGTAATAATTTTTAAATCTTATATTTATTTGACAAGTATTTAAAATTTATATAAGTTACTCAAAATAATGTTTACAATTAAAACATGTCATTTTTGTTATTGGCATTAATGTGTTGATATTTTATTGGTACGACTTATCCGGTAGTAATCCTGTAACTTTTGTTCATCTTAGTTAAATACATTGTCTTGTGTCTTGTCATTCCAACTTATTTCTGAGATTTATTTTAATAGCTGACAGTCAACAACATATATGCCACATCATAGGACAATCGAGGTGTGTCCTGATTGCTTCGAGTTTCAACAAATGAGAAGAGCGGCGAAGAAAACTCTAGATCGACTTCGACAGAACGCAAACCTAGCAAAAAGGGACCAAAGCCTTCAGATGGCAATAAAGAGCAACGGTCACAAAGAGATATCTACTGAAGAGTTGCTTAAGAAATCTAGAAGCTTTGGCAATAAATTAAAGGCCGGAAAGACATAAACGCCGAGCTAGAGCAGCATATAATAACCAGATGGAAGAGAAAAACTCCACAAATAAGAAAAAAAAACAGCAAAAGTAGAGGCAGTACCACCTCCCACAAACAGTAGAAAGTCGGAGGATAAAAAAACAAACAGCAATCAAGGAAAAAACTCAAGAATGCAGATAAAAAGTAAACCCAAAAAAAGAAAAGAATTTCTACCACGGAAATAGAAAGATGACAACAATTCAGACAACGAATCTATTATAAAGATAGAACTCGAGAAGGTAAGTCCAGTAGTGAAGAAGACATACATGCCATCTGTAATAAAATTACAAATTGTTAACGAAAATAAAAAAATTGTGGACTTTGCTACGGAAAAGAAAATAATTACTGAGAACATTATATAAGAAATGGAAAAAACTCTAATCCAAACCAAAAATCCACAGGATTACAGAAAAATTACCCAAATCTTAGAAGACTACAACAAAAAGAAAACAATATTGTTTTCCAGCTAGAGGAGGAGAGAAGCTGCAAAGTTCTCATAAGAGGCATACCGGACAATCTTATACCGGTAATAATAAAGGAAGAACTCCTAGGACAAGACATAGATACCATAAAATCACGAATATGAAATAAAGAAAACTGGACAAAAAACCTTTGCCAATTCATCACAGAAGGGAAAAAAACAGGCAGCAGTTAGTTAAGATACAATACCTCTGCCACATGAAAGTTACAATAGAGGACTTGAGAAGAACTGGAGGTCCAACCCAGTGCTATAACTGCCAAGGTTTACAAGAGATGCACTTGAGTACCAACTTAGGGAACACAGAGCACTTCAACAAAAAGAAAATAGCAAAAACATGGACCTTCTGTAAAAATTACAGAAAATCCTAAGAAACGACAGGGAACCAATGCCACCTATATATGGAGAAAGCGGCATAGTATACAATATCAACGACAAGGCGGAATACATAAGAACCCCCCTAGAAAGACAGTGTTCTATGAACTACCACTAAAATAAAGACCCTTACTTTAAAGAGGAAGTAGAAGAAGACTACTTCAGAAGACCAACAGAATAAGAAGATCTACCACTGAAACACACATCCAAAGAAAACCAAAGAAATGTGGATCTGACCTGAAAAACCTCAACAAAAACACACATGGACCAGACGAAATAACTAACAGAGTTCTAAAATACCTCCCAACGAAAGCAGTCGTTTATATGACCAACATAATAAATGCACTGATGAGATTCTAAAGATTTCCTAATTGATGGAAAGAGGCCCATCACAATGATGATCACAATCCATAAACTTGAAAAAAAAAACATCATTTTTTCACATAACTTCAAGCCAATAAGCTTACTGTCTGCAATCAGCAGAATTGCTGAAAGGCTCGAATAGGAAACAAAGAGACTACACGTATTACTAAAAGAACTGATCCCGCCAGCCAAAATTCAGGATTCGCGTAGGACAAAACCATAATCCCATCCTGCTGGAGATTGACACATTTAAAGAAGTCCACCCATTAACTACAAAAAGATGAAGGAAAAGTGGCTAACTAAAAAAAAGGAATCGGAGATATCTCAAAATATCCTAAAATACCTCCCAGCCAAAGCAGTTGTTTATCTTACCAACATAATAAACACACTAAGGAGATTCACAAGATTTCCTAATCGATGGAAATATCCATCATATGCGATCAAAATCCACAAATCAGAAAAAACAGCATTATCCACAGAACTACAGGGCAATAAGCTTACTATCAGCAGTCAGCAAAATTTCTGAAATAGTGATACTTTCAAGGCTGGAAGAGGAAACAGAAAGAATATACGTGTTACTTTAAGTCCAATTACAAATCCAATATTAGAACCAGATACTCAAGCGAACACATAAAGTCTGGAACAAAGGACTTATCTACAAAATAAAAAACTATGGAAACAACAATGTTGTGAAAGAGCTGCTCTCCTCATACCTCGCCAAAGAAAATTTAGGATGTGCATAGAACAAGTCCTATCCAAATACAGAGGCAGGAGTACCACAGAAAGCTGTTATCTCCACTGCTGTATAGCATATGCACAGCTGATATCCCGAGAACACCAGACACTATGATCAGCCTTTATGCTGACGAGACGTCAATAGTGGCCAACTACAGAAACCTAGACATTGCAACTAGAAATTATCAGATATCACTACACGCCCTACGAGAATGCTACGTACAGTAATAAATTGTAGTAAATCCAGGAAATACTCAAGCAGTAATTATTCTGTAAACAGAAAGACGCCAACATAATGTACTCCTTCGTTTCGTGTTTCCAAACCATATTTCCTTATGACATCATTGTGTTTTTCTTCGCCAATATTCGGATTCAAATCTTCTATTACAATATTGGGCTCGTATTTTCATAAATAGGTACATGAAGTGTTATACATTTTATGTACCTATGTCTCTCATCAAAATATTTATTTAGGATATAATTAAAAAAAAATTAAACATTCTTAAAAGGTGGGAATATAAAGTTATTTATTCCCAAATTTATAAAGTTATTAAAGAAAGTTATTTACCTATCTAGAGTAAGTTCTTCTAACTGGTTAAGATCGCACGCTATGTATTCCAAGGCAGCATCAGTGATCCTAGGACACCAAGACAGATCGAGCGACCTCAATTTTTGTAAATTCTCGGCTATCAGTTCGACTCCGTCATCGGTGATTTTACTACAGCCAGATAAGCTCAAAATTGTTAAATTCGGTAGTGAATGTACTAAAACAGAAAACGTTTGTGTTAAAAAAAACAAGTGTCAGAAAATTAGAAGGTTTTACCTATATTTACAACACCATGATTGGTGATTTCCCAACAGGAATGCAGCCTTAGCACATTGAGCGAATTGCTTTGCTTCGGCGAAAAATATCCTAAAGCGGCATCAGTAACGTGGTAGGCTTGCAGGGAGAACTCGTAGAGAGCGGGTAGTAGCTGAGCGACCGCCCCTACAGCTTCGTCGGCTACATTTATGCAGTCGGTGAGGGTAAGCGAGACTATCCGAGGATTGAGACACGCCCACAACCCCGCCTCCGTTATCTCGTTACAACCGGCTAGTTCTAGTTCATAAAGAGCCTAAAAATCATGAATTAGTAAAGAGCTTTTGAAAGTGTACAGAATGTTGTTTTACCTGAAGATGATCGAGAAGCGTTTCTAGTCCTCTATCAGTAATGCTCGAACATCTTAAACTAAGCGTATGTATATGTTTTGAAGCTAGAGGAAAAGTGTTGACTAGGTCCATGGCATCTTCGTCGGAAGCTCCCATCAACGACAAACTGTGGAAACCTCTTCTAAGTAATGATCCGTATAATCTGAAATATTGTGCATACATTAGTAAGCAATACTATACATTTTCCATAATTACACTATTAAACATCGTTCTAAATCATATGAGGTACTTAAAGAGATCTTCAAATTAGTGAAAATAATATATTAAAGAAAATATTTCAACTAAGTTGGTTGAAATCGGTCATTATTCCTATAAAAAAACAAAAATGCAAACAAATGTGTATAAAAACTCTATAGGTAGCTGAAAAGACTAATTGGTCGATAATTTTTCAAATTTGTTTTGTTCCTATTTATTTTTATGCAATAAAATCATTGAGAGGTTGTTCCATTCTATTGGAATTTTAAATATTGCGATGTGAAGACAGAAGTTAAACAGTCATTTAATTTGTTTAAGCGATTCTTGTCCTCTATGCTTTATACTCCAGTCACTCAGGCTATTTACCTCCTAATTTTTTCGGACTGAAACGATTCACTTGAAATTTGGTGAGTTAATAAAAACGCGCCCAAATAACAAAAGTTATATAATGCCCATATGTGCTTCTGCCCCAGGGGTGGTTGCCACCAAACATGTCACGTTTTTAACAGTTTTTCATGAGTAACTCAAAAAATATGCCTTTGATCGAAAAAGTATGCTAATCAAATAAAGATATTCTAGATACAATAAAAAGTGAGATATGATCGGTGAAAAGAGAATTGTTTTTGCGAATATTTAGATCAATCTATTCAACGGGTAATTGTAAGCAAAAGGTTGATTTTTTAGGGGTAATTTTATAGTCCATAAACCAGTTGAATGAGCACTACAAGTCATTTTCGCATAAACTGAGTACGTTACATCTTGCTAAAGAGACGGCTTGGAAACGGTAGCCCTTACCAAAAAATCTGTTAAAAAATTAGAAACAACGCAAAGAGCAATGGAACGAATCATGCTTGGAATATCACTGAGAGACAAGATTAGAAACACCGAGATAAGACGTAGAACGAAGATCAGGGATATTGTGAAAGAAATTACAAAAATGAAATGGCGCTGGGCAGGTCACGTAGCCCGATATAATAATAACAGGTGGACACGGAGAATTCTAGAATGAAGACCAAGGACGACAACAAGAAGCATGGGAAGACCTCACAAAAGTTGGGTAGATGACATAAGAGCAGTCGCAGGCAAACAGTGGATTAGATTGGCGCAAGATAGAGAAAGATGGAAGCAATTTAGAAGAGACCTACATTCAGGAGTGGATGGAAAATGGTTGACAAAAAAAGATGGACTCTTCGAATATTTTAAGAAAAAAAGGCAGTATAATTAACCTAATATCCCCCAGAATCAAAATTATTCGTTTTTTACAATTCATTTTATTTTAGTGTTTTTCATTACATCTAGGAGTTTGACGGGATTAAACTGCATTATTTTTGAAAAAAGTTATATTAAATTGTAAAATTGTCTATTTTGAAAATTTCTAAAAAAATTGTTCTTTTTTTTCAAAATAACTTCAAAAAACTAAAATATGTAAAAAGTTGTACAGTTTAAAAATGTAGTCCAGTTTTCAATAAATATTCTCGTTTTTTATAAACTTTTGTACCGTAAAAACCAATGGAGATATCACCCTCTGTATTTTTCAAAATTGAAGGTTAGTTTGGCTTTCCAATGAAACTAGTCTTGTAGCCCTTAAAATTACCATTCGAATGGCTATGTATACATATATCAAAGCTTGAAGATGAACTGAATTATTGAAGAAATACCAATTATATTTTTGGGAGATAATTTTGAAGCATGAAAAATATTTTTTGGAGCTCTCACATATCTCAAGTACCCGTAATAGTTTTGTAGATGAATATCTCGGCACCAACAAACATTATTAAGTACGTTCGCACTGGTATTAGCATAGGCCATAGGGGGGTAGTTGTTAAGTGGTAAGAAATTTGCAACCAAAGAAATAATAACAATCGTAAAATAGTTTCGAAACATAATTCAGATTTCTGCTTTATAATCTGGGCCTTCTAAAAATTGCAAGGCAAACAGACGTTGGTAAAAGATGTTAAAAGAGACATGGGGAATCTAAAATTTGCATTCCACGACATTTCTTTTACAACCAAGCAGAAATCCTTAGCGAATTGTGCTTCTAGTACTCACACAGAGTAAATCCGAATAAAATGAAGAAAGGCAGCAAATATTTGATTTCACGCAAACCAATCCTATGTATCTCTTGATACGTATTTTGACCTAATAGGTCTCGTCAGAAAAGCTACAAGCTGTCTTTTACAACTAAGCAGAAATCCTTAGCGAATTGTTTTAACATCTTTTATCAACGTCTGTTTACCTTGCAATTTTTAGAAGGCTCAGATTATAAAGCAGAAATCTGAATTGTGTTTCGAAACTATTTTACGATTGTTGTAATTAGATGTCGCTACTGCGTCCGTATTGAAGCCATGTTATTGTTGCTTCTTAAAAGGCAGAAAATATTGATTTTTCACGTTGAGGACTCCTATGAATAGCTCTTCTGACGAGACCTATTAGGTCGAAATACGTATCAAGAGATACATAGGATTGGTTTGCGTGAAATCAAATATTTGCTGCCTTTCTTCAAAGAAATAATGTTTCACATGCAAAGAACAAATTTTTATTGATTTAAATACATAAGTTTAGAATAACATTTTAATGTATACACAATTGTTTTTAACATTGTCTATAGGGGTAATTTTTAGGGGTCGAAAAGTTTAAACTCAGTCAATATTACATAATGACGGTATTAGATTTTGATTCGATACAGAGCAGCGACAAGCCGCATATACGTATTTCGACCTCTTTAGGTCTTCTCAGTACGGTATAGCCACTACTCCGTATCGAAACAAAATCTTTTCCCGTCGTAGACCATAGTTATCAAAAATAACTATGTACAGACGTAATTACGCCATCTAAGAACAAAAAGAGAAATCATACGATTTCTACCTGGCGAAATCGAATTCAAATCTCAACCACCGAGCTTTCTAAAACTTGCAAAGCAAACAGCTTGATGAATAAATTGGCAAGGGAATCTAATATTGCATTCCAAATGCCGTTCATCATGGTCAAAATTCGTAGTTGAGATTTGAATTCGATTTCGCCAGGTAGAAATCGTATGATTTCTCTTTTTGTTTTTTTTTTCACTCAATATTGTTTCATAAGCGAAGAATGAAATTTTAATTATCTAAATGAGAAATTAAAATATTTTAAACTATTAATAGGCTTTTTAAGTATTTTTTTTTATATTCGCTCCGTGCGTGACCATGGTAGGGGCATGATACTATGAATAACAAGATAGGATCTTCCCGTAGCTCAAAATCGGTCGGGTTCGCGCATGTCGTCATTGGAGACTAGAATTTGAATTCTTGTTAAAGTTAAATGAGATTTGTATGCATTCTGTGATGAAATTACTAGACGAAAATAAGTTAAGAGGTTAAATAATTACAATAATCGTACACATAAGGATATCTCCAAACTATTTATTAAAGATTATTTATTGATATATACAAAAACTGACATTTCGAACGTGTAAGTCTCCAATGACGTCACAAAAACATGCACAATATCTTATCTTATAGTCATAGTATCATGGGTAGGGGTACATTGAAACGATGCCAGCGTGCGTAGCGGCGAAATATGACAAAATTGGAATATTGGACAAAATATTTTTACGCATAAATTTTATCAAAAAAGTGTACAAATACATGTTGCGTATTTAATTGTGCTAATAATAGCAAAAACAGTGAGTGTAGTTTTTATAGGTTCCCAAAGATTACATATAAATTAGAGAAAAGAAAAAGATGAATTCGTGCTATTAATATGAAAAAGTAAATATACATAATTTCATTTTTATGCAATTGAAATAGGAAAAATTTAAAAAATTTACCTTGAATGATATTTCATAAGGCTTCAAGCTAACTGCAAATGACTTTAGCTTTTATATCATAACTTTTACTATTATTGTTTTTAATTATATGCTCTTTTGCGTGAAAAACTTGATTTGCCAGTACTAGATTTTTCCCTTTCTTTTCCGTTTGGAGTTGAAAAGATATATTATGATGAATTTTGAGAAACCCAGTTTTTAATACTACATTTATTTTGTAAATAAACTGAAAAAATGTAGTTTAAAAACTAATTTATTAATAATTGTCAATTTCGCATGTATTTAACAATGTTAAACATATGTCATATGTTTAACCTGAAAATTGGGACTCCAAAATTGTCAGATGAAGGCGGTAGGTGTCCCGTCAGTCACGCACGGAGCGAATATATAAACAAGTTTATAGCGATAAGATATCCTGTTACTTATTTTTACTGATAAGTTTATACATCTTCTAACAGATTTTTCCCTTTCTTTTCCGTTTGGAGTTGAAAAGATGTATTATGATGAATTTTGAGAAACCCAGTTTTTAATACTACATTTCTTTTGTACACAAACTGAAAAAATATAGTTAAAAAACTAATTATTAATAATTGTCAATTTTGCATGTATATAACAATGTCAAACATATGTCATATGTTTAACCTGAAAATTGGGAGGTCCAAAATTGTCAGGTGAAGGCGGTAGGTGTCGCGTCAGTCACGCACGGAGCGAATAAAGGGATACTTTTTAGGAGTTAAAAACTTGAAACCAATGAAACATAATTTTACAAGCGATGAATGATTGTTATTGATTTTAATTCATAAGTTAAGCATTTTACATTATAAAAAATTATTTTTTAACGTTATTTGCGTCATAAGAGATGGTTTCTAGGGGTTAAAAATGTATATTAAACTATAAATAATCATTGAATATTTTTATTTTACTTAATTCAATCAGATTTTAATGTATAAAACGCTTTAATACGTGTCTTCCTATTTTTTCACTTAGGGGTAGTTTTAACCCCTTAAAAACAAAAAGCACACTTAACGAATATATCTTTTGTAAAGAATGGTAAGAGAAGCTTAAATCCAAATTTATAGCTAAATCCATGCAGTTCGACAGAATTTTGAGTTAAGGTCCCATTTTACGCCTGAGTTAACTGGACTATTATTACTTCTTGTCGTAC